TCTCTGTTGGCTAACAGTGAAAGGGGAACATGACTGTTATTAGAAGAGAAAGCTAAATTCTCTCAGGGTGCCTCTAGGATCCTAAGGAGATGTACCACACTGACTCTGGGATGGTGAGTCCAGACCCAGAATACATTGTCTACAATTACATCACAAGTTATTTACAGGTTTTCTAGTTACACTATGATATTTCTAGAATTTTGTTGATTTTAAACTTTTTATCATATAGTTTTTGTACTTGATAAAATTCAAATTTGGACTCTAATTTTGAGAGGATTTGAAATGCCATTTTTTAAAAATTAAAATGTCATTTGGATTATGAACTTCATAAGTACCAACAAATGCGAGCATTTTCAAACACAGATGTGAGAAATAGCTAGTTTTCATTTCCACAAAGGTAATCTAAGGGTTAGGTGGAAGTTGAACACAGGAAGCCATAAAGTAAAATCAGAAAACACTATTGGTGGGTGAATAGACTAACTGGCCAAAAACCAGTTCTGAGGTTAGGTATAGGTTACCATCAAAAAGGGTGTTCCCTAATAAAGGTGAAAGTAGATGCAGGCCTGGGTCCCCAAATTGTGGGAGTGAGAGATGTAATTAGGGGCAGAGCCTCACGTGGGGAAATTAGGCCCTTTGCATAGGCTGTAAAGGCTGTACTATCCAACAAATGGGGAAATGGGGGAGGGAAATTAGAATCCAGAATAGGGAATAAAAAGGTGTGTATCTGTTTGACACGTGTGCTCCCATTCATGGGATGCCCAGCCTTCTTCGGACATTAGTAAAGTTTTTTCCCAGTTCAAACACTGCTTCGTGGAATTTGTGGTAAGACTTTTTGCTGCTAACACAGAATAGAAAAACAGACTTGCACATAAAAACCCAACTCTCCATTGTAAGAAACTTGTTTCTTTTTAAGTATAATCCACACATCCAAAGTTGTCCAATGGTGTCTGTTTTCTCTTGAGTCTGTAAAAAATTCTTCCCTGGTGCTCCTTTTTTTCTCTGCCTAGTATTAATCCCCTCTCTCCTACAACTCTCCCTTTCCCATTAAAACCCTCCCTTGTAATTGACAAGAAGGAAAGGACAACAAATTTGCAAATTAGCCATGTAAAAACATAAGTATCTCGTGAAACTGTGATCTTGAAAGTAGCTTTTTGAACCATGAGAACGTTATACACAGTAACAGCAACGCTGTTGAATGCCTTTCTTACCAGTGCAAGGATCTAAGACATCTCCTAAAGTCTCAAGATGGAAAATGCTATCCACATCCAGAGAAGAACTGTGGAGTTTTTTTTTTAATTTATTTTATTTTTTATTTTAATTTTTTTTTCAATCTGCTTTTGAGTTGAAAATTTTTTCTCCCTTTTTCTCCCCCCCCACGCTCCCCAAGACGGCTCACAATCTGACATAGGCTTTACATTTACATACCCATTAAACATATTTTCACATTAGTGAAGTTGTAAGTAAAAATTAAAACCAATAGGAGGAACCATCAGAAAGATGAAACAAAACTCAACTGAAGGTAAAAATAAGTGAGAGCGATTCAACTTCCATAGTTCTTTCTTTAGATGTGGACAGCATTTTCCATCCCGACGCCTCTGGAGATGTCTTAGATCCTCGTAATGCTGAGAAGGGTTCAGTTTAACATTCTTAGTCATTGCATAACATGGCTTCTATTGTATACAAAGTCCTCTTGGTTCTGCTTACTTCACTCAGCATCAGACCATATAAGTCTTCCCAGGTTTTTCTGAAGTCAGCCTGTTCATCATTTCTTATAGAACAATAGTATTCCATTACATTCATGCACCGCAACTTGTTCAGCCATTTCCCAATTGATGGGCATCCCCTCAACTTCTAATACTTTACCCCAGGAAAAGAGCTGCTATGAATATTTTTGTACATTTGGGTCCTTTTCCCATTTGTTTGATCTCCTTCAGATATAGCCCTAGAAATGCTATTGCTGGATCAAAGGGTATGCACATTTTTGTAGCCCTTTGGGCATAGTTCCAAATTAAGAACTTTGGAGTTTGAATGCAGATCGAAGCATACTATTTGCTCTTTTTTAAATTCTGTTTTGTTTTGTTTCCTCTTTCTTGTGGTTCCTTCTATCGGTTCTAATTCTTCCTTACAACATGACTAATGTAAAAATATGTTTAATAGGAATGTATATGTATAGCCTTTATCAGATTGTGTGCAGTCTTGGGGAAGAAGGTGGGGAGGGAGGAGGAGAAAAATTTAAAACTCAAAAGCTTATGGAAGTGGCTGTTGATAAATCAAAATAAATTAATAAAAAACAGAAAAAGAAGAGAGCTTTCTGATTAACATAGCCCAGTGACCAAAATCATAGGATTGAATTGTCTTAAAGTTTGATTTTTTTTGTATTCAAGTACATGTAGGGGTTTATATTCAATGATCATAAGTATTTACCAATAGCCTACTGTACTGGAGGAATTGTGCTTTTAGACACTGACAAAAATAGAAATATTGGAACTGCCCAAAAGGAGCTTCCTTTTTTTATAATCATATTATGCAAATTAGTAATTCAATGTGAAAATTATCCACCTTTTTTTACATGGTGATTTGAAAGTTTAATTTTGTAGTTTTAAGAGTTATATTGGCTCAAATTCTGAAAATCTAGCCACTGTTCAGATTCCTTAAGAGTCTGGCCAATATGACGGATGTTCTAATAAACCTTGTCTTTGGCTGAAAGAAGGTTTGGGTCAAATTCTTTTGGACAGGATCCACATGTTGTGATTTTCGGGTTCCAGCATCCCCAAACCCTTAACCCTCAACATTTTAGTGGCCCGTACACGGAAACTGTCTAACCACAAGTTCTTATCCAGTCAAGACTGCAAGGTATGTAAGTCTCCCTCCTCTTCTTTCTTGTCCTGCAGTTGGGGTCACTCTCAAAGCACGAAGGAAGGCTCGCAGGTGCTTTTCAGGGGGACATTTATGAGACTGACTCGCACTCTGGCCTGATGCTCTCAGGCTTTTGGTCCACTGGTTTGGTTCAAGGCCATGGATCTCGGTACACCTTTGGCAGCATAGAGGACAAGGATGGATGCCCTATCTAGAAGCGCATGCCCTATTCCGTCAATTCTCTTGGTGCTAGGGAATTGGGAAAACTGCAGGTGCTTTTTGGTTCTGAATGGGATGACCCAGTGAAGACTTCTCAATGTAATTAAGGGAGTGAGTTCAGAAGGTAGGATAGGGTGAAGAATAGATTGCTGTAAGCTCTTCTCTTTTTAGTGCCAAATATTAGCAGTTAAAATGTGTCTAGTTGTTAAGCCCTGGCCTGCCTTCTGATCTTATCCATATGTGCCTTTTGTCCCAAGCCCAGAAAACCCTTAAATGTTCAAGTACCCTTATCTCCCTTTGACAGGATCTTATTCAGATGTCTTTCTATTCCAGCATTATCTGTTCAATCCCTGAGACCTTCCAAAACAATTGTAAACTATCTTCCTAACTACACATTTTTACCTGAGTTAATGGACAGCTGTGAGGGAGGGGAAATTGAACCTTCAGGGCTATATAAACTAACTTCTATCTCTGTGGGTTGTCTCTTCTCATCAGAGCCATTGGTGTGAGGACACCCAAATCTCAAGATTTGACATAAGAATAATAATTATACCTATAATAAATTAACTTTCTGTTTCTCCTTGGACACCTCTGTGTTTTGTTTTATTGTTAATTTGAGTGGCATCCCACACAGTTCCCTGAGGCTTACTTACTCCCTTCCCTCTACACCCCTGAAACCTCCTTGGTGGAGGTTACAGGGGAAAGGTAGAACAGCTAAAAACATCTTAGTAGATTTTGGAAGTTTTGTGATCGATCATTAAGGTGTTTCGAAACACCTCCTTACAACCCTGGTCATTCCTTTCCCTTGCCAAGAGAGTATCTGTTAGTCCCTCTCATAAGAAAAGAGAATTTCACACCTCCCCCCTCTGAATTCACCCTCTGCTAAAGGGGTCCCACTGGACATGGCCTTGGGCTCTGGGGCAACCTTTGGCTGGAAGCATCACCCAGGTTAAGCACAAACTGCTCAAGGTAGAGAAGCTAGCCTCCAAACTTGGGTAAGCACACTCTTTTAAAGTTGTAATTTTAACTGTTAGTGATGAGATGTTGATTCTCCCTGTAAAGGATTTTGGAAATGCATTGAACAAAACTGAAGTCACCTCATTGGTTTGTTTCAAGTTTGAAATTGGTGAACTTTTTGTATCAGTTATGTATGGGACAGCGACCCTAACCCAGATTAAACTCAGAGACTTCTCAAGGTGGAAAGCAAAGGTTACATTTATTACAGTCTCGAGAGATGGCTGTCTGCTCCTCTGATACACGTGTAGAGAGAGAACCCAGTAACAGAGGTCACCTTATAAAAGCAGTTCTCTGCCCACCACACAAACAAGCCTCCAGACACCACGCAAACAAGTTTCAGACATGTTTTTCTTTTTTAACGATAATATAGGCAAAATGTGGCTCCCATAATTTCTTAATGGCCCAGGTAAAGTATATTTAGTGAGATGCAATTGTTACAAAATATAATCAGGCTCAAAAGGAAAGTGTCTTTATTTATGTTCCAATCAAACCTTTACATAGTTCTTAAAGTATTTAAAGACTTGAGTTTGTTTATCTTCTTGAAGACAAAACACAACTGAACAATCTGAATAGTGTCAAGCTTAACTTTTACAGGAAGTCTTAATGATAATGTTATAAAGTAGCAAGCACTCTATTCCCACTAGATGCAAAAGTCAATGATTAGAAATGAATAAAAAAATTACCTGAGATGAGAATTGAAAAGGTTCTAGTACAAGGTAATTTCTCAATTGTTGTTTTATTCAGAATATTAAAAAATAGTACTAAAATCTTCTGTGGATTCAAAACATCTAATACAAACATCATACATAATGCTAGCTCTTGGAAGAAAATGAAAAATGGGTCATGCTGACCTTTTGTTAACACTATAATTAGTTATACAGGGGGTATATTAAGTTGGAAGAAATAATTATCATTAAAGCTATCACCAATGCTGCAAATATGAAATGAAATGAAACAAAAGAAAAGTTAGTTTAATTAATCTAATAAATCTATTGACAGACTTTAAAATCTCTCTTGCTAGAATTGCAAAGAAATCTGCTTGATGTTCTTGTTCATGTGTAATCCAATGAAAGGACAGAGATTTTTATTCAGAAATACGAACGATTTGTTTCCCAATATTGCCTCCTGTCATCACAGATTGGAAGGCAACTGAAAAAGAAAAAATAAATTATCTTGAAGAATTGGTGTCCGTTACATAATATCACCAGTTTTATAATTAATTGTTATAATAGCTCAAAATAACAAAATATATCCATATATTAAAATGGAGGTTATAATTCTGAATAAAGTCCTAAATGATTATATCAGTTTTGAAGCACACAGATTAGTCCAAATCATGGTAAGAAGCAACTTAAACATTAGTACCTGAACTGAAAATGTCCATCAGTTACTAACTATATTCATTTAGTGTAAGCTCAGGAGAGAAAATAAGTGAAAAAAGTTTTGAAATAATCTCTTACAAGGAAAATAAGACATAATGATTATAGAAGATGAGTAAATAAAACTAACATCTGTTAACTAAAAAAACTTAGGGTTTTCTGTAAATGTGGTATTCAGAAGAGTAGTTACAATGTTCACAATATGGATTTCTCCTAAGGCAAACATTCATTTTTTATGGAAAATAAAAGATTTCACAAAATAAAAAGTTTTTATGTAACATAACTCTAAAATAAAATGTTAATGCTAAGTACATGTGGACATATTCACCAAAGAAGAGCCAAAGAGAATTTTGAAAGCTATGTTTGTGGGGAGAAAAAAAATCTATTTTCTTTTTTTTTAATGTAAATATATTTATTTTTAGTTTTCACCATTTACTTCCAGAAGATTTTGAGTTCCAAAGTTTCACCCCATCTCGCCCCTCCCCCCACCCCAAGATGGCATGCATTCTGAATACCCCTTCCCCTAGCCTGCCCTCTCTTCTATCTCTCCCCCCCTTCTCTCCTCCCCTTCCCCTTCTATTCTCCTGTAGGGCAAAAAGAAATCTATTTTCATGAGAATTAATATTAAAAAATTTCCCCAATCTGTGTAATATATAAACTATGAAATGTACTCCCCATTCATTCTGTAAAAATGCACATACTGTTTGAGGAACTCAAGAAAGAGCCTCATAAAATGAGACACATTAAAAAAAGATGTTCCTCTTCAATATCATGAAGTTGAATCTTTGGTAAAGGTTGGCTAAGTTCACATTCCATTCAAATTAATGTAACATTTCCCAGAAAAAAAAAAACATGACATACAGCACAGAGAAAGAAAGGAATACCTGTAAAAGTACTGTATCAGAGCAAGAACATACACCTGAATTATTACATCTGATCATCTTACCTCCCATGTTTTCCAAGCCATTGATCACTGTCTCTCTAACCTACAAATCAAAATAAATGGAATTAATTTTCTTTCTTACTTTTCAAGGGCAAACTATTCAGCACTTTCCCCTTTTAAGAAAGATATACTTCCAATATGCAACATATGATCTGTAAAGCAGAGAAATCATATTTTTATGAATGAAATCTGTTTTTCCCCATCAACTGATATGGTTTCTTCCTTTCCCCCTCTCATACTCTACCCCTAAGTGTCTCTGCCAAATAAACAAACAGAATGGAAAACATTTTCCACCAAATCAAAGCAGCTGCAAACAAAATGTAATCTTTGTTGTTGTTCAGTCACTTTCAGTAGTGTCTGACTCTATATGACCCCATTTGGAGTTTTCTTGCAAAGATACTGAAGTGATCTACCATTTCTTTCTCCAGTTCATTTCATAGACAAGGAAGCTGAGGCAAACAAAGTTAAGTGACTTGCCCAGGATCACACACCTAGTAAGTGTCAAAAGCCAAATTTGAACTCATTAAGATGAATCTCCCTGACTCCAGGCCCAATACTCTATCCATTGTGCTACTTAGCTGCCCTATAACCTTTGTAAAGGATAACTTTTAGTAAGAATAATTATAGATTTGTTTTCTATTGTATAATTTAGAATTCTTACATTAAGTAAGAATTTTTAAAAGTAGGAGTGTGCACACATTTTGAATCAGCCATTTTTTCCCAAATGGCTAAGAAATTAACTGATTTATTATTAACAGGCTCCTTCTAACTTCTGACATCCTTTCCCTCCTATACGTTACTGAAAGTAAACTATTGGGCTAGATGTTCATTAAGAAATTTTTTCTATCTGCAATACCTTCTTTGATGTACCTGCCCCCTATAATTATACAGATAGAGACACTATGGGAGTGGAAAACTGTATACACCATCAGATTCACTGGGTCTTGAGTGGTTATATGGAACTGATTTTCTGTTTTCTCCCCCATTATTCTTTCTTACAAGGCATGGCTCACTGGGTAGGAGAGTGGTAAAGGGTATATTTAGAAATGATCTGATATTAAGACAAAATAAATTTTTTAAAAAAGAAATCCTGCCATGAAAAAAGTTTTCTTTGAAATGTTTCTGGTATTTGCTTCTTCCTCTCCATTTCCACTGCCACCTGAAGGAATGCAGTACAGCAAGGTGACAAAATATGGAGGAGAAAAAAAGAACAGAAATCCCAGCCTTTGCCTCTCTACTTCAGAAGGACCAAGTCTCAAAGTGGGTGATAGAAACATGAGGGCCAAAGTGCAGACACGAACACTTCCAGCACAGTCACCAATCCACACCGAATATCAGGGCTATCAGTACAGCAAGGTCATTACCAGAGGGGGAGTCAAGATGGTGGAGTAGAAGGAAGTACAGTGAGCTCCCCAAGAACCCTCCTCCAACTCCCCCAAAGACAGGTAGAAAATGCACCAGGCTTCACTATACATGTTTGTACTGCATTGTATTTCTTTCTTCCTCAACGGGCAGAGGGAGAAGGAAGAAAATTGGGAACTAAAAACAAATTTTTTTAAAAAACAAAAGAAAAAGAAAATGTACCAGAATGAATCCTGATTGGGAAATTGAAGGGAAGAAAAAAAGTAAAGTGAGTCATTCTTCGGGCCCAGGTCAGACAGAGATCTATAGATGGTGGGGATCTGGTGAAAAGCGCACTACCTGGAACGTTCTAGTACCGAGGGTCTAGGGGTATTCTGCTGAAACTCTACATGTATGTTGCTCAGGCCCACATCCAGGTCAGGAACATGCAGAGCTTAGACCAGGGAGGGAGTGATCAGACTTCGCCCTGGATCGTGATGATCACCCAGGGAACACTGAAAACTTGCAGGTCCCCAACCTGAGCCATCCCTGAGATTCTAGAATACCTCAGTCCTCAAGAACCCCAAGAAAGGAGGAACAGGACTGGCCCAGACTTTTCCTACAGAAGTAGACAAAGCTTAGGCCTAACATCACTTCTAAAGTCAGGAAGCAGGCTGGAAGAAGGAGCAAAGAAAGAAAGAATCCCACCCCAAAAAGCTATTATGACAACAGGGATGCTCAAGACATCAGTCTAGAAGAAAAGAATGATTCCAAAATGTCTATAAGCAGAGGTCAAAGGAAAACATAATTTGGGCACACATTCAATTAGAATTCCTGAAAAAAAAAACCCTAATCTACAGCCTTTAAAAAAACGATAACATATTTTTTTATAAATGAGAGCACTAGAGGAAAACAATTGGAAAAGAAATAAAGCAATTAAAGATAAAATTGGGAAGACAAAGGGCAGTCTTAGCAAAATAGGTATAAAATTTATTGCCCATGCAACAAATTCCCAGAAAATGAGAGTGGATCAAATAGATGCTAATAACTCCATGAATCAGTAAGAAATATTGAAACAAAGTCAAAAGACTGAAACAAAGAAGAAAATGTAAATTATCTCATAGGAAAGGGGTAGAGAGCTTGAAATGTGATATTCCAGAAGTCAAATGATATGGGCTTACAAGCAAGAATAATTTACCTGGCAAAACTAATTATAATGTTACAGGAGGAAAACTGAACTTCAAAGAAGAAGGAAAGGGAAGAAGAAGAAAACAAGGGAAGGTAGATTAAGAAAGCAATTAATACTAAGAAAAACAAATTATAAAGTTATATAAACATATTTACAGTTTTTTTGCAGGGGCAAAGAATTGGAATCTGAGGAGATGTCTATCAATTGGGAGAATTGCTGAATAAGTTATGGTATGTAAATGGCGATCTCCTACCACTGTGCTATAGGAAACAATGAAGGGGATAGTTTCAGAGAAACCTAGGCAGACTTGTATAAAGTGATATAGAGTGAAGTGAGAATAAATACCATATTTTATATAATTACATTAATATGATAAAGACTTAGAAACTATGATGAGGTAATAATGATAAACTATGATTCCACAGGACTATTGATAAAATAGGTTACCCAGCTCCTGATGGAATGTATAGGGCCTGAATACAAATATGAACTAAATTGAGAAAGATAGGTGAGAATGAAATTATAGAGGGATTGAGATGCCAGCCTGAGGAATCTGTATTTTATGTTAAAGGCAAATAAGGAATTATCAATAAATGGAGCTGAAAAATGCTAGGTAAGATCACAGCTACAAAAATATATATATATAAATAGAGAGTCAATTACAGGGTCAAAACTAAAGGGAGGAAAGTGAGGTGAGTATAGGGATAATAGACTGGAAAAATAGGAAAAGGTAGGGAAGTTCTGCTGAGGACAAAGAATAAGTTTAGGAGAAGTGAGACAAAGGAAGAGATGGAAGGACAGAGAAGGTCATCATCAGACAGAATTGCAGCATTCAAGATCAAGGAAGTAACTAGCATGATAGTGAAGTTTGTGAATTCTAAGATGTGACTATTCTTGTGGGTGGAAGGAAGAAGTGGCCGTTGAAGAAGTTGGTGAATTGGGAGTTCCAGGGACATCATCACGTATGCTCAAGTCCCTGAATATGTGGGTAAATCAGGGGTGGCAAAGACTATGAGACAGGTATTGAATTCCTTGAGAAAGAAAGGAGAATCACCTGGAAGCCAGGACATAGCTGACTAGGATTTGTATGGGGCAATGGAGATGAAGGAAGTGGACTTCAAAGGAGAATGAGTTGCTGAGTAATGGGGTAAAGGGGGACAGTATAGACATAGCAATGAGGATCAAGGAGTATGTCAACTTCTCTTTCTAGTCCATTTGGAAGGCATTCCAGAGAAGACGGCCAGGGGTGTAGTATGTATGAGAGGGAGCCAGGTTTCCATGACTGTAAGAATGTGGAAAGGATGCAAAAGGAAGGGATCTAGAGATGGGATTCACCATGAAGATGGGGCTCCAGAAAGCATAATGGAATGGAAGGACAAGAAAACAGTCTGTGGATGGAAAGAACTAAAGTAGATAGGGATGAGAGAGTAAAGACTGTTAGAAGAGGTGGGTTTTCACCTCAGTAGATGGCAACCTCAATTACAGGGACACAGGGAGCAGGAGGTGGGAATCTGTTCGCCACAAGATATGGGAAGAAGCAGTTGACTGGGTTCCATTTTTTTCTAGTCCCAATATAACTGAGAATTCTGGTGCAGAAGCAGTTTCCATAGGTTATCATTCTTCATGCTGGGAAGCTGGAAATGTAGGCAAGAGGTGGCAGTGAGCTCTATCTGAATGCTAGGGCAAGTAAATACCTAGTCTTCTGGTCTACTGTACCAGAATGAACTCAACTTTTTACCAGCTCCAGAACTTATCCAAACATAGTGGCAAATGATGTCACCAAGAAGTTATCTTACGGGTATTCAGCTCATTGTATTTGAGTCCCTGGAAGTGACACTGAGGCTTAGAACTTCTGATGGATAGGAGTTGCCTTTGGGGTAGGCCCTCCACTGAATGTCATACCTCCCTAACTAGATTGCAAGCCCTTGGGGCAAGAACTTTGTCCTTTAATTCTTTTGCATTCTCTTCAGTGTCTAGCAAGCACAGTGCTTTATTCACTGAACAAGCATGCAATACATTCTTGAAGTAACAACTGAGAATGTATGATGAGCCAGGATTAGATTTGTACCGTCTCTCACGTGGACAGATCTGTTTATGGCCTATATGTAGGGTCAGGTTAATTTTATTTTACTCTTAGTTCTCTATCAAATTAAAGCTGACATTTAAAAAAAAAAAAAAAGGAAAATTGTTGTGCTGAAGAAAAAAAAAGCCAATAATGAGTATTCAACACTTTGTGTTAACATGGAAGTATGGAAGGAAACTTGACAAAAAAAAAACAGCCATAAATAAGCTGTGAAGGAACCCAAGTACTTTGAAGTGATAAAAGACGGTATACTTCTCATATTTCATTTTCTTTGAGTTTATTATCAATAACAATAAAAACAGTAATAATAACAGGTACAGTAGATAAGTCAGCCAGAGACACAGCCTGGATTCCAGTCCTGCTGCTGACTATGTGATGCTGGGTGAGTCACTTAACCTTTTAGTCTCCTGCAGCAACAAAGACTATGAGTTGCAGAACACACAGCATTCCTTCCTGTCTCTGCACAGGTAATATCTCTCCTCAACTCTGCCTCTTAGAATCCTTCATTTCCTTCCGATCTTAGGTCAAGTGCCACCCCCTACATGACACCTTTCCCGATCCTCCAACGTGCTAATGCCTCCTCTGCCAAATTACCTTTGTGTTTCTTTTGCACACATTTGCATAATGTTCTATTTTGTATCTATTGCCTCAACAGACAGAATGTGCTTCTGGATGGCACGGACTGTTTCGTTTTTCTCTTTGTATCCCCAGTGCCTAGCACACAGTAGTAAGTTAATAAATGTTTGTGGATGGAATAAGTTAATCATCCAAGTCAACAATCTTCAACCCGTCCCCAAAGGTAACAGTCTCATGAAGAGGCAGTGTTCCAGAGAATATGGGAGAGGATGAAAGGAAGTGCACAAATAGAGGGCTTGGAAGGATCTGCCTCTTATTCAGAGATTGAGGGAAAAGAAGAAATAATGAGGGATAAGTTAAAAGAAGTTAATCCGCATTTATTGAATGCCTACTGTGTAACAGATATTGCGCTAAATGCTGGGGATACAGAAAAGCAAAAGACAGTTAGTTCCTGCTCTCAAGAAGCTCAGTCTAATGGGGGTAGACAACATAGAAGGGAAGTCCAGTGCTTCTAACCAGCAAGATAGTCTACAATTAAATAGCAATACTCTACATCAGAGTTGTTGACATCCTCTGGACCAGATTAAAATGTAATTGGGAAATACTTAACAAAAGTAAATAAAAATAAAACACATCATAGATATGTTAATTTTTGGTTTCCGAAGCGAAGATGTAGCCTGCAGAGATTAGCTTCTATTTGAGTTTGATATCACTGGTCTAAACTACTGGTTCACAAACTTTTTGGTCTCAGGGTCCCTTTGCACCCTTAAAAATTGCTGAGGACCCCAAATAGCTTTCATTCCCATGACCTGTGGTTATTAGTGTTTTCCAGTTAGAAATGAAATGGATATTTAAAAATGTTTATTCATTCTAAAATAATGATAAATCTGTTATATATTTATATGAACTTTTCATGAAAAATAACTGTTATCCCAAAAAAAAATTTACAGTAACATAGCATTGCTTTCCATATTTTTGCAAATCTCTTTAATGTGTATTTTAGCAGAAAACAGCTTGATTCTCCTATATGCTTCTACGTTCAGTTCAGTCTGTTGTGATACATTGTTTTGGTTAAAGGATATGAAGATAATTCAGCCTCAAATGGATAGATAGTTGGGAAATGGAGGAGCATTTTAATAGTTAAATAATTTTTTAGTATTCTTAGGAAAATAATATTGACGTCAAGGACCCTCTAAAAGGGTTTTGGTGGTACCTTGAGATTCATGGATCACCCTTTGAGAATCCATGAACTAGAGATTTTTATTCAAATCTTATCTCAGTACTAGAATCCCCTCAGAAACAAAGTAATATAATCTTCATATCAGTATGATTTTTATTTAAATTAACTGTAGTGAGCAACTGGACACTTATCCCAGCTATATAATTTGAACTAACTATACCCAGGATAACAATCTGATTTTTCAAACTATACAGAAATTCAGGCTCACTACATTTGAGGAATAAGATAAAAGGAATAAATTAATAAGGACATAGCATCAAGTCCTACCTTTAATTTTCCTTCTTTAAACCACTGACTCAGTTGTAGAATTCCAGACTCAAATTTGTCCTTGTGTTCAAGCACCCCAAACGGTTCCCTATTGCAAAATAAAAGAGAGACATCTAAAACAGGAGAAAAGCAAGATCAGATACTTTCACAAGCCTCTGAAATCTTTTCATGGAACAAATATCATGGCTTAATCATGTTCAGTTCAGTCAGATGTGGTTTAGACAAATGTTATGAAAATAAAAGATAACAGGAAGTCAATGTCAAAATAATCATGAGTTAACAGAACCTGTTTACCTGGCTTCAAGTGGTTTTTAAATGCATAGCACTACTCTGCTGGGTTTGTACTCCAAGGAATAAGATGCCCCTCCCAGGATAACCTCATTACATCTAATCTCATAAACCATGATGCTAAATCAAGCCCTGATTGCCCTGACCTCCCTCATTCTACTCTCCTCTTTGATTGGAGGGCTGGCAGGTGAAGTACCAAAGCCTTCCCAATGCCTTCCTTTACAAAGGGCAGAAGGTAGGCTCTCAGCTCCTTTGTCCACATTGCATCTGCTTCTCTGCCTAGTCTCAACTCCAGGGAACACGATGCTCCCCAGTATTCCCCAATGCACTTCCCCTCACACCTTTCCTGCTCTTTTTGTATGTTGTCTCCCCCCATTAGATCATAAGCTCCTTGAAGGCAAGAACTGTCTTTATTAACAGTATTCCTAGCCCTTAGCAAAATGGCTGGCACATATTAGGCACTTCATAAAACCTTTATTGGATTGGATTGGGATGGGGGAACAGCTCTGGGCAAAAAAGCATATCTCTGTGTGTATATATTTACATATATACATACAGCATATTGCATATATGATTTTAATATGGTAGTAAATGAAGAAAAGAAAGAATACCTTGTGATGTTTTTTGTTTTCAGAATTGACTCTATTTCAGGAAGCAATGGGGGAAGATGAGGCATATTATTATTGTACTGAGAGATCTGGCCACACAGGATAATATGGCTGTTCTGATTCATCTGTTCAGAGAAAAATGATTAATATCTCCCCCAAGAAATAGATGTTTCTCTGTAGTTACTAAATATGAAGCTGCTTTATGAAAAGAATGAATGTTTTCATGGAATAAGTGTCAATATCAATTGGGAAATGGCTAAACAAGCTATGATATATGATTGTAATGTGATATTATTGTGCTACAAGAAATGATAAGCAGGATGATTTCAGACAAACTTGGAAAGACTTACACAAAGTGATGGAAAGTACAGTGAACAAAACCAGAAGAACATTGTACACAGTAACAATACTGTTCGATGAAGAACTGTGAATGAGTTAGCTATTCTCAGCAATTCAATGATCCAAGACAATCCCAAAGGACTAATGATAAAGCATGAAGATCTGCCTCCAGAGAAAGAACTGATATTGTTTGAATACAGACTGAAGCATGCTATTTCTCTCTTTCTTTCATTTTTTCCTTTTATTTGACTCTTCTTGTACAAATAACTAATATGGAAATATTTTACATGATTGCACATGTATAAACTATATCTGCTTGCCATCTCAGGGATGGGGGAGGAGGGGAGAGGAGGAGGAAGGGAGGAAGAGAGAATTCGGAACTCAAAACTTTAAATAAAAATGTTTTTAAAATTAAAAAAAGACTTATTAAAATAATAATAAGTGTCAATGAAAGCATCCTTGGAAGGTACAAGAAAAGAAATACCCTGACTATTCCATTAATAGTAACTTAGAGGGGCAGCTAGGTGGCACAGTGGATAGAGCACCTGCCCTGAAGTCAGGAGGACCTGGGTTCAAATCCGGCCTCAGACCAAACACTTCACACTTACTAGCTGTATCACCCTGGGCAAGTCACTTAACCACAATTGCCTAAAAGAACCCAAAACACAATACTAACTTAGAGATTTTTGGGGAGAGAGAGTGGACTCTTATCTATGGCATGTATTTATGAACATCGAATGGTAAGCAAATGGATATATAGAGGGAAGGTGAAACTTGCTACTCAGGAAAAAAAATGTAATACTAAGGATTCTGTAATTTTAAGGAAACAGAAGCTCATTTTCAAAATTTCACTTCACTTCAAATTAGGCTAAACTATCTAGTAAAGTGATATGTAACAACTGACAGTGAAATACTAAAACTCTATAAAACATAAAATGTTCATCCACTTGTAGTCATTTCAGTTTATTCTCTTAGCTTCCCAACTGGACATGTTGGGAGTAGTAAGTAGAAACTGGATGATGGTGAGACAGGAAGAGTCCTTTGATTCTAGCAAAGACAATTCTGTTTCTTTCTGAGAAACCTTGAGCGCACCCCAAGATCAGCCATCATTTGATTGCACCTAGCTCATGTATGCCTTTCTTTCCTAATGGCATGATTACATGTAATTATTTTTTCTTCCTAATATATTTTCCATATTCTTTATGACAACCATAAAAGACATCAAAAGCTTACTACTTATGAAGAAATAACATTAATTCATTTACTTGGAAGAATTAATGAGAAAAGGATTAGATTATCTCATTTGACAGAATGCCTTGCTTGAGGGCAAGGACTGTTGCACTTTTGGCACTATATCCCCCATTCTGCATGATGCCTGGAACACAGTAGGTGCACAGTAAATGCCTGTTGATTAGCAAAAAGCTAAATGTTCAACACTATCTAGAAAACATCTAACTCCATATCTTTTCACCCTTCTATTCCGTCCTCGCGAATTCTTGATCTATATAATTAACAAAGTTCTCTGATTCTTAGGTCTGCTTCTCTCATGCTACCTCCATCTTCTGGCACTCATTAAGACCTGATTACTCAATGACACTTCATCACTTGCATTCGTTCTAGGATGGGTTGCACCTTCTCTCAAACTCCCCAACTCACTGGTCCCAGGAGGAGAGGTGGAATACTTCTTGGTCCTCTTTAATGCTTTCAGACTCTCCCTCTGCCATCACTCAGCAAACTGTCCTCATTTAAGAGTCACTATCCATATTTATCACTCAGATTGAGGTGTCTATTGTCTACCAAGCCCAAGGATATTCCTCCTCTTGTCTCAATGCATGCAGTGCCTTGGCTCCTTTTCCATCCAAGTTCATGCTTTATATTAAGGAATTCAACATGAATATCATGATATTTCCAGAAATACCCTAACCTCCCATTCCTTTAATCTATTTAACTCCCATGAGCCATTTCTTCACTCCACCTCAGCTATACAAAGCTGAGAGAGATGCCCTTCATCTCACAATTGCCCCAAAATATTCCACTTCCATGATGAGTAGCTGACATTTCTCTATTTTATTCTAATCTCTTATAGTTCTATCTGTCTTTGTGCTGTCAAGACCCTCACCCTAAGACTGCTCTTTTTGCTGCTCTCTTTGTTTTCCAGAGCCAAGTCCTGAGCTTGGCATAACAATAATCCTTTGCACTCACCCTCTGGATGAACTCAGCTGCAGCTAAATCACAGAACTGGCTTAAACCAGCTCCAAGTGGTCCCTGAGCTCAGAGAAGCATCTAAAGCAACCATGTTCTGGTCATGAAGCCCTGCCAAGAATAGATCTTTGGTCACTAGGCAAACTCACCTCTTTGTCACTATTGCGCTTCACTCCTGTGGTCACCCCTCAGTGCTTTGTTCTCTGTCTGGGCACAGCTATGTGTAAAAGGGCTGAGCCTTGCTGCTTTGGTCTTAGAGGGGACCCTGGCACACGTGTCTGGTTTTCCTCCTCTAGTGGAATAAAGAAGGCTCTTTGTCTATAAACTCGGGGAGCTCTTTGCTTTCATCTTCTTTTGCTTTTCAGATTGGATAGTTGGTATACATCATTTCCTATAACCTCTGTGGTTCTTTGGTTACAGTTAACAGTTGGTGTATAATCTCTGTGAGCTCTTTCATATTTCCGGAGTTTAAGAGTTGGTGCATAATCTCTCTGGCTCTTTGGTCATTTATTTTCAGAGTGTGACAATGCTTTACTCTTCTTAAACCTATTCTCCATGTTCATCATGACCTCCAAATTCCTGCAATCCCCAGGACTATCCCAGGCCTTTAGCCTTGCTCTAATTACACTCTGCTCCCTTTCACTCATCCCATATCCAGTCTGTTGCAGATCTCGTCATTTCTACTCTTTTGAAATTTCTTTCTTTCACACTGCCACCACCCTAGTTCAGGCCAGTAACACCTGTTGACTGGACTATTGTAGTAGCTTCCCTTCCTCAAGTGTCTCTCCCCTCCACTCCAACCTCCACAAAGCTGCCAAAGTGATTTTCCTGAAGTACCTCTCTGACAACATCACACCTAAACTCAATACACTTCAGTGGCTCCCTCTCACCTCCAAGATCAAATAAAACTGCTCTGTTTTTCACTTCATGATCTTCACACACTGGCCCCTTCCTGCCTTTCCGGTCTTCTTCCAGGTAACTCTCCTCTACACACTCAGTGGTCCAGGCACACTGGCCCACTAGTGCTGCCTCACACGCAATGCTCCATTTCCCCTCTCCATGACTTTGTATTGTTGCTGTTCAGCCGTTTTCATTCTGGTCCAACTCCTTGTGACCGCATTTGGGGTTTTCTGGGTAAAGATACTGGAGTGGTTTGCCATTTCCTTCTCTAGCTCACTTTACAGATGAGGAACTTTTTAATTTTACATTTTATAGTTGAGGCAAACAGAGTGACTTGTCCAGGGTCACATAGCTAATAAGTGTCTGAGGCCCAATTTGAACTCGGGAGAGATGAAGACTCTTCCTGGTTCTAGGCCTGGCCACTGTGCCACCTACCTGTCTTTGCACTGGCTGCCCCCAAATGACTAAAATGCAGTCTCTTCTCACCACCATCTCTTGGAACTCCCATTTTCCTTGAAAACTCAGCTCAAGTACAAGATTCACTATCTTGATTTCAGCAGCTACTAATGCCCTCCCTCTCCGAAAGCATCTTCTATTTACTTTTTATATATTTGTAAGTGTATGTAATGTCTCCTCTCTTGGGAGGGCAACATCTGTTTTGCTTTTTTCTTTGGATCCGTAGTGGCAGACACTCAGCAGGTAGTTAGTCAGAGCTTGCTGACTAACTGTTCTTATCGTAGCTCTGCAAGAGACACAAACGAGATGCTGAGCATGACTGCCTTGAAGAAGGCAGTAATAAACCATCAGACTGCTCTATCAGAGCAAGCATAGAACTTGGTGGAACTGGTTTTGGATGGTGAGCAACAAAGTGTGTGTGTGTGTGTGTGTGTGTGTGTGTGTGTGTGTGTGTGTGTGTGTAAAACAACAGAAATAAGAATCATTCAAATTTATAGCAGGAAGTGATCAATCACCTGGCGTATAACAGTATCGCTGATGTCACCACCAACATTGTCAAAGTAAACGTCCACTCCAGATGGGCACACCTTGCGGAGTTCTTCTGCCACATTCCCTTTCTTATAATTAATTGCAGCATCAAAGCCCAGTTCTGAGACCAAGATGGAGCACTTCTCATCTGTTCCACAAATTCCCACCACTCTGGAACAGCCTTCCAAACGGCCAATCTATAAAAATAACAGTTTGGATATTAAATAGTTTTATATTTGTATAACAGTACCTAGAATGGTGGAAAAGCTGTAAGCAACTGCAAGTGTGTACTGGCATTTACTACAGTTCAGGTGGGGTCACAATTTTTAAACTTTTCACCAAAGGTTACTGAAAGACTTAGAGAGATACAATGATACAGGATACAATGTGATGTTTAAAACAAATCATAAACATGTAAGTAGAACAGAGAGTGACTTTGAGTTTACAAGTAGATATCTTAGATATAGTTTCATAAAAGGAAACATCAGACCATTAACATATATCACAATGCTATAATGTGAACCTAAATTTCTGAGCCTGAGAGATTCCAAAAAAGTATTCAGAAAAAACTGCACTCTGTAAGTTCTCATTATGAATATGTTTATTACATTTAATCTGTATAAAACATATATATATATATATATATAGACATGCTACGAAAATGTTTAAAAGCTTACTCTAAAGGCCAGTCATTGGTTCTGAAAAAAATACAGCAGGTAAAACAACCAGGGAGCAGGTAGGTCCACAGAAATAATGCTAAAGAACCTATCAATAACCCAACTGATGTTCAAAAGTTATGGCCAAGGGGGAGTAAACGGGAACTCAGATTGTCACCAGCTATTTGATTTATACCAAATTATACTGTAACAATTTCACAATGTTGTAGTGTTTTTGGTTATAATGTATTAAGATGTTCTTCTAAAATGACATTACTTAGAGTAACATTAAACTGAGTATATCTGTACTAAATTCTATATTTTTGTGCCCAATGATTTATCATTTATTTGGAAATTTTAAAAACCAGAGAACTTATGGTTTTAGCAGATTTACTCATTAGAATATGAAATCTCAGAGAGGTGGTTTTTTCTGATTGTTTCCATCATAGCATTCGCTCATTTAAACCTAATTCTGTTTTATCTAAATTTCTCATAAATGGAGAACTACACCCCAAATAAACTGCCAAATCGCAGCATGTTTATTTGTAAGAACAGCAGTAACATGGTTGACTAGTTCAACACAACCCGTCTCTCAGAACTATTTAGGCAAAACATTACCTGTGCTTCTCAGTCTTATACTTCTGCCTGTCTAGTTTTACATTGTGACTTCAGTTACAGATGTGTCTTTTTAAAAATCAAGTAAGTAATCATGAGCAGAGTTTACCTGGCCAGCCAATGATCCACAAGCACCTGCAGCTCCACTGACAACCATTGTCTGGTTGGATCCAACACTTATATGACCTTTTTCTTTAATTCCAAGCAAAGAAGTCAATCCCATTATACCAATAGCACCAAGAAAGTAAGAAAGGTGTCCATCTGCAAGTTGTGGGTCTACCTAAAATAAAATATGCACATATTTTAATATCACACTATCGATTTCTATTAGAGTTTAAACAGGAAACATTGGTAGAAATTAACCCTGTATAATTTCTGTTATGTTAAAGTATCTATACTCTAAGGGAACTAAAGTATAAGGCTGGACCAAAAGCGGTATGGCAAAGCATGCCTGTCACAATTGGCTGTGTGACTGTGGGCAAGTCACATAACTTCTCAGTGACCACCAATAACTCTCATACTCAGCTGCCAAACAGTTGCCAATTGGCATTGGAAGAGGCAGTTTTCTTCATTGAAATACTAATACATGCTATCCAAAAAAACGGCAGCATTAGAATACAGAATCTCTGATCAAAGCCTCAAGCCAAAGTTCAACCTTCAAAATGTCAAACGTTGTGACTATGGGAAAATAGGGACACTGACATGCTATTGGCAGAATAAATGATAATAGCCATTTTGCAAATACTTGGGAACAATCCCCAAAGGGTTATTAAACTGTATATTCCCTTTAACTTAGCTATATCACTACTGGTGGTATAGAAATCAAAGAAAAAGGAAAAGGTCTTATACGTAAAAAAATATTTATAGTAGCACTTTTTGTAGTGGCAGAGAAATGGAATCTATAGGGGTGCCCATCATTTGAATGGATGAACCAATTACAACATATTAATATAATGGAATATTATTGTGCTATAAGAAATAATGAAAGAAAGAATTTCACAGAAATTTGGGACTACTTGAACTTATGCAGAGGGACATGGGCAGAACCGGGATAATATTTAAAGTATAACAATATTGAAAAAAAAAGGTTTTGGAGTACTTAAAAATTCTAATCAATGCAATAACCAATCATAATTCCAGAGGACCAAAGATGAAAAGACGTGGAAAAGAAGGGAAACTATGATAATTCTTTCATCAACAAAAAAATGCCATGAATATTAGAAGTCATGGTCTCTGCTTCAGGTGCTCAAGATTTTTTTTTATTTGTTTATTTATCTGCTTTTCTACAGAGCTCTTCCACTAATTAGCTATGTGATCTTGGGAAAGTTACCCAGTTTTTCTTTGTTTCAGTTTCCTGATCTGTAGAATGAAGGGCTATTACTGTATAACCTCCAAGGTTTCTTCCAACTAAGATCTGATTTGTAAATCTATCGCCATAATGAAATAATAATAATTCCCCACATTGGTATCATAACACTTGGAAAGCAATTTCCTTATAACCCTGTAAGGCAGGTAATGGAGATTGTTAATGGCTTTCAACAGTGTCGGCATTTGGCCAAACTGTAAAGTATGATTTCAGGACTTCAATTGTTCTTTCTGCACTCTACTGCCCCTTAAACACCTTTTCTTCCTCCAAGTATTCATTGTCCTCTGCTGCCTTCCAGCTGCTTAGCTCTCAGCTGTAATAGAATTTCAGTCAGCAGCAAGCCAAGTTGTTGACCATTTTTCCTGTATTCTCCTTTCAAAACTTATCTGTCTTCTAAATTAGTCCTTTAGAAATCACCAACTTCTCTTAGGAAAAATTCCGGTTGAGATGTGCCACACTAGTGCTTGCAGGTAGTAGTAACAACACATACATCTATTTTAACAGGTAGCTTTAACTAATGAGGAAAGTTTCAAGTCATAAGGCAGACCAAGTTGTGAGTTGGAAGTTAGGAGGAAACAAGAATTTCTCACTAAACCTTCAAATCATACAAATCATAAAGCCCCTAGTTGTTACTATGAAGTCACAGAAGTCCCTTCACTCAGTTTTAAGCATAATTGTTTCACCTGTGACTTAGACAGTAAATGAAAGTCATTAACCAGACTTTCAATGAAAATACAGTTGAGTTTTATATAACTTATTCTTTAGAAAAATTTTCAGGTAATAAAAAGGAAGGAAGACCATATAACCAATTAATTGTTGGTTCAGATTTTGATACATTTAATGAGTCAGTAGGCAGAAGAAACTGGATGATTTTATTACTTTTTTGATATTAAGCAGAATCAAATGCCAAGGAAAAAATGAATTAAGAATTATAGGAAATACATATGTTTATTAGAGATTACCTTTTCAAGGGTGTTTCCCTCTAAAATAGCCTTAGTCTGCCAGGGCCAATTAAGACAAGTCGCAAAATCACCTTTAGCCCAATTTGTATGTTGACTCTCTTCTATAATTCCAACACCTCCACCATCAAGCACTTCAGACAGCTGCCAAGGCTTCATAAAGTCAATACCAGTGTAATCATTCATTCTAATACGCTGAAAACCAAAAACATTGATTGGGAGAATTCTGAAAATACGTCACTATGTGTCCTTAACCAGAAACCATTAAAAAGGGATATACTGAATGGTGTTGAGAAAAAAATGAAATAGTGTTAGGTATAAAGTATTCCTCTGAGACAAAAAACCAAAATTTCTATTTCACCTTTCTTTTCTCTCCTCCCAGGTATTGGTTATTTAAAGAATATCTCTCTTAAACAGATACTGGAAAATGCCTGTTTAAAGGATACAGACGATTTTCAATATCCTTGTCAAAAACGTAATGAAACCAGAAAGTATTATTATTTCACAAATTCTTCCAATCCCCCCAAACCTGCAAAAACAAATTATTGTTTTCATAGCTGTCCTTCTTCCCAATGCCCTATTATGCAACCTTTTACCTCTAGCAGGAACTGTTTTCAATTCAGAACCCATTGCTAGTGCCACAGTTAGAAAGGGCTATGTTAAAGCAGATTAGCTATGGCCATTTCCCAATAATTCATTCTTATTAAACAGAAACTCATCAATGTTAACAATGAAAACCACAATTAAATGGTTGCTTCAAGAGTCCCTAGAAGGAGGCACAATTATACCCTCATCACTTCTACCAACAAATGGAACAATTCCTAAAGAAGTTAAATACTATTAGGGAAAACAATGTTATAGACTTTTTTTAAATTTGTGATTGAAAAAAAACTATAAAGGATACAGGCAAAAAAACCCACAAGCTACCAGGCTTCTTTCTTGCTTCTCTGAAATGTGACAAGCCATAATACATAAATATGAAACACTTGGTTCCTGTCAAACAGTCACGGAAAAAAAATGTCATTGACAATGGCTCAAAGCTGCATGATTTATTCTACCAGGCAATTACACAAAAATCAATGAAGATCTTTCATTTTAGCAACATTACACATAAAGCTTATGAAACATACCTAAATAGGAATTACTTAAGCTGATCATAATGACCTCTGAGAAACAGTTTTCATAACATCATACAAGTTATGAGGTGGCTAACCATTGAAAATACATAAAACCTTTAATTATGAAAGTACTAGAGACCACCTGGACAGAAAGAGACAGATGAGGAGCTTGGGAAATATTATAAGCCTGGCATAGGGGCATGATATATTCGTGATGGGGGACTTCAATTATCAAGCAAAGAAGCTAAGAATACCTTTCTACCTTCATAACAATTTCATCCTTCAAAAGGTGGAGGAATCAAGAAGGAGAATTTCTATTCTGATCCTGACTACCAGGAAAAACTGGATGCTGAGGTAGCAATGATGGGACCCCAGGTAGAAGTGACCACTTCCTATGAGAGTTTGTGACAGAGGAGAGGAAATCTGGACAGTATGTATTATGTACCCTAAATTGGAAAGTCAGATTTGAAAGAGTTCAGAGGAAACAAAGTAAGATCCCATGGAGTAAAATGCTTCAGAGTATGTTAGCTCAGGACAGCAAGGAGATATTCAAGAATGAAATTCTCATAACCCAAACAGAAATGATTCTAAAATGTGATTTGTCTGAAAAAATTCAATTCAATAAAAATTTATTAAGCGCGTACGATGTGCCAGGCACTGTGATAAAAGCACTAGCTATACAAAAAGAGGCAAAAGACAGTACCTGTCCTCAAGGACCTTACAATGTAAAGAGCATGATATATGCACAGGGACTCACCAACAAACTGAAGTTTTAAAAAGAAATGTTCAGTACATGGGAACAAAGGCAACTGCCTTATGGAGGATGATGGCACAGCCTTGTAAAAACCATGTTAGACCAACAACAAAACCAAACAAAACCAACAGAAATTCCATTTAAAATAACTATGGGCTCAGATTCTTAGAATCTAGCCACTTGCTCACTAATGTTCAGACTCCTTAAGAGTCTGACCAATATGATGGAATGACGGATGTTCTAATAAACCTTGTCTTTGGCTAACAAATACAATAAAATAAAATAACTATGAATGCCAGAAAAAAACTTGTGAGTCTACCTGCCACAGGAACTACATAAACACAATTACAAAACACTTCACACAGATCAGGACATTTAAATAACTAGAGAAATATTAATTGCTCATGAGTAACCTCAATCAATTTAAAAAGGACAATACTACCTAAATTAACTCATTTATTCAGTGCCATAAGACTCAAACTACTAAAGAATTACTTTATAAGGCTGACAAAATCATAACAAAATTCATCTAGGGAACAAAAGGTTAAGGATATCAAGGGAATCAATAAAAAAAATGGAAGGAAGTAAGACTAGTAGTATCAAATCTCAAACCATGCTACAAAGCCATAATTATCAAAACTATTTGGTACTTGGTAAGGAATAGATAGGTTGATCAGTGGAACACATTATGTATACAACACAGAGAAAGAAATCAGCATAGTAACCTAGTGCCTGATAAATCCCAAGTGCCAGCTAGTAGAGCAAGAGCTCAATATCTGACAAAAATTACTGTGAAACCTGGAAAGTAGTCTGGCAGAAACGAGGCACAGGCCAACCTCTCACATTGTATATAATATGATAAGCTCAAAATGGGCACATGATTCAGACATCAAGGGTGATATCATAAGCAAATTAGTGGCACATGGAAAAAATTACCTGGCAGATCTATGGAGAGGGGAAGAATTCATTCCAAACAAGAGACAGAGGTTTACAGGAAGTAAAATGGATAATTTTGATGATATTAAATTGAAATTTTTTTACACAAACAAAACCAATGCAGCTAAAATTAGAAGAAAAACAAGGAACTAGGAAAGAAATACTTGCATATTTGCTCTGATAAAGGGCTCATTTCTAAAATATATAGGGAACTGAGTGAAATTCATGAGCATAAGAGTCATTTCTCAAATGATAAAAAGTCAAAGGAAATGAATAGGCAACTTTTAGAAGAAGAAATCAAAGCTACCAACAGCCATATTAAAAATGCTCTGAAATACTAACAATTTGGAACTGTGCCCCCAAATATTAAATTGAATATACCCTTTGACCCAGTGTTACTGCTACTAGCTCTATACCCCAAAGAAATAAAAGAGAGGACACATATGCACAAAACTAATTATAGCAGTTCTTTTTTGTGGTGGTGAAGAATATGAATTCACCAGTTGGTGAGTGGCTGAACAAATGACAGTACATGAATGTGATGGAATACCGTTCTCTTGTAAGAAATGATGAAGGGGATGGTTTCACCAAAACCTGAGAAGACTTATGTGAACTGATGCAAAGTGAGGTGAGCAGAACCAGAAGAACAATGTACACAGTAACAGCAATATTGTAAGGATAATCAAGTGTGAAACTTAGTAACTCTGATCAACATAATGACCAATTACAATTCCAAAGGACTCATGTTATCAACCTTTAGAAAGAGAGCTGACAGACTCAGAGGACACAATGAAACATTTTATTCTGTTTTTCTTTTTCTCACTTTTCCCCTCCTTGGAACATACCTAATGCAGAAAACTGTTTTGCATGTCAATATGTATTTGTAATGGGTTTATTTTTCTTGCCTTCTCAGTGGGGGTGGGGAGAGAATTTGGAACTCAAAATAAAAGAAAAATGAATTCAAACATTTTAGAAATAGTTAAGCTTGCACTTTCAAAAGAAAATAAAACTTTTAGGAATACTAAAACTTAGAATTTGAGGCTGGCAAGGAAATCTCAGGACAACAAAGTGTCTCTCTCTTTTTAACCCTACCTTGAGAGAAAAAGGAGAAATGAAGACGAGATAATAACTTTGCTTGGGGTGGATGAGATAACTGATGATAGAGAGAAGACAGAAGTGCTCAAATCTTATTTTATTGCTTCATTTCTCTCTGCAGAGGAGAATGATCTCTATACTAAAAAGGACAGAACAAAACTGACTAACACAGAGTTGATACCCAAAATATATAAGGAGAGTCTGAGTGAGCACTTAGCTATCTTAGATGAAGTTCAGTCACTTGCCCCAGATAATCTGAAAGTACTGGCAGATGTGAATGTTGAGCCTCTATCAATGATATCTGAAAGACCTTTATGGAAAATAGGAGAGGTGTCACAAGATTGGAGAGGGACAAAAGTCTGGATTAAAAAAAAAAGACAACAGAGGCTGCAAACTATGTAGGTCAGTTGGTGGGATTTTGATTCCCAGGAAAGTTATTGAAAATATAATTAAAGAGATGACTGACAAACATTTAGAAAAGATGATTCAATAATCATCACGTGTTATTATTACCTTTGTGACAAATTCGTCATTGGTGCCTTGCACACAGCAGGTGCTGGATGATTATTTATTGAATTGGAAAAAGAAACAGAGATCTAAAAATAAGTAGCTAGTGCTGTTTGTCCTCCATTCTCAAAGAGGACCAATGACATCGTCAGGGTGATGTTCTTGGTGAAGCCATACTATCTCTCTGTAATCACTGACTCTTGTCTTGCCACTGGACTTCAATGACTCTGGAAGAGAGAATGAAGCTGCCAACTTGGCTCAGCTCTACCACACTTAAATCCAGTTCACAAGCAAGTCAAGTACTAGCATACTCACCTCATTTGTTTTTTTCTGTCAGGATTACTAACATAGTAGAGAACTGGAATGCTATGGATATAATTTACCTATATTTCAGGAGACCTTTCAATAAATGTTTAGCTAGGTGGTACAGTGGATACAGTATCAGGCCTGGAGTTAGGAAGACCTGAGTTCAAATGGGCCTCAGACAGTTTCTAGCTATGTGACCCTGAGCAAGTCACTTAACCGCTGACTTATTTTCTTATCTGGCTTCCTGTAAGATTCAGCTCAAGAGCCACCTCCATGAGACCATACTCGGTCCCCACAAAGTAAATACACATCTTAGGTATGCTAAGAACAAAAGCAAACTGCGTTAGACGGTCAATGCACCATTCTTTGAAAATCAGTCTATCCAGTCAAGATACTCCAGTACCCTAATGCACTGGGCTAAGCACTGGGGATACAAAGAACAGGAGAAAACCCAGTTGTGCTGGTATAGGGTTCATAGG